AGGTACTCAAGTACTTCTCTATTGAGTTCAGTAATTTGTTGCAATGCCACACGGAACTTAGAGACAATAATCATGATTATGAGGTTTGTCAGTGAGGGAATATGTTATCTTTTAGGTTCGGGAACAGTCATGAGACAACTTTCAAAAAAGCAGCTTGGGCATACTTGTAGGCAGGCCTCACTTTTTCTGGTCTTTGGCCTTTTGTTTTTTGGTGTGTGGATTTGGTTTTGGTTTTTGTTTTGGTTGGTATTTTTTTTTCTCCTTTTGGCTTTGACTTCTACTGGGTTTGGGCAAGAGTTACAAATCTCCTTTACTTCTGCCAATTACATGTTAGTGGTACATGGACTCTGCCAGTAAGCCTAGACTTGAAGGCACTTTACTTTTGCTCCATGGTTCAGGAGCCCGCAGCTCTGTCTTACATTGGTCTCTGGTTCTCCTTTGCCTCTTCTGCCCCTTCCTCTACCAGCTCTGTGCCCATCTCTTCTCATTCTATCTTACTACCTTGCTCACTTCTCTGGGTTACAGTTTTCCATCTCTGGATCATGCAGAATCTCAACTCCAAAGGATGTGCCACACTCCCTGGTTCTTTTTTGTTTTTTATCCTTGTTCTTTCTTAATGCTAATGAGATCCCCATTTTCTGCCTCTGAGCCAGCTCATTTTAAGCCTAGTGTCATGGCACAACTAACCAATCTCTATGTTAGCATTCTACACATTTTATTTGCATGGCCTCACCCAAAAGTGTTATTTACCTTAGTTATATTATTGGCTAGCTGTCTAATCCCCTTGTTGTTATGTGCCATAGAATCCAATCGAACTCATAGTGACCCTATGAACAATAGCTCTGAATGCTGCCCTATCCTGAGCCAAGTACTGTTTCAACACACCTGCCCATTTACTCCAGTCAGAGTAAATCTCCATCTCATCCAGAGTCTTCCTCTCCTGTGCTGACCCTCCACACTTCCAAGCATGATGTCCTTTTCCAAGGACTGGTCCTTCATGCTCAAAGTATGTGCAATGGAGTTTCAAAATCTTGCCTCCAAGGATCAACCTGGTTTCACCCTCTCCAGGACAGACCTTTTTGTTCTCTTGTCAGTCCATGGTATATTCAGTATTCTCTAGCACCAAAACTCAGAGGCATCTTCTGTCATCCTTAGTCATTGTCCAGCTCAATGATGCATAGCAAATAATTGCAAAGACCATGGCCTGTAGATTGTGCACCTTAGTCTCAAGACTGACATTGTTGCTCTTCAGCACTCTGAAGAGGTCCCTAACAGCTAGTTTTTTTATTTCCTGATTGCAGATCTGAACAAGCTGAAATTGTTAACAACCTCAATCTCTTCGCCATCTAACATGATGCTGCCAATTGAACTGGTGGGGAGGATCTTTGTTTTATTGATGTTAAGCTGCAGTCCATATTGAAGACTATAGTCCTTGGCTTTCTGCAGCAAATGCTTAGGTCCTCTTCAGTTTCAGCAAGCAAGGTTATGTCATCTGCATAACAGCTAATTTTCTTGGTGGGCCACAAATGGTTTGTTGTTGTTGTTGTTAAATGCCTTCGAGTCACAGGCGACTCATAGTGACCCTATGAAGGAGAGTCCTCGATGCTTGGATGCGTTTCATCCTCTCTCCAGTTTCATAGGGTTTCCAGAGGCAAGCTCTTATGGAAGTGGATGCCAAGGCAAGCATGGCTTCCCTGGCTCCTGGAGGCAGCGTCACCTTTCTCCAGAGACCACCACAACACAACACAACTCCCACGTACACAGCATCATGTTCTCTGGCCAAAGGATCACAGCCACCTTGGGTGGGGCAAACCTGGCGGATTATGGCTGTCTCCTCCCTCCTCTTCTTCTCCTTTTGGGCTTGAAGCCACTGCTGCCTTCAACCCAAGGCCAAGCATGGTTTCCCTGGCTCCTGGAGGCAGAGTCGCCTTTCTCCAGAGACCGCCACAACACAACAGAACTCCCACGTACACAACATCATGGTTTACATTGGCATAATCACACCCAGTCATCAGGGAGCTCTGATGGTATAGTCCAGTTGCAGCTGCTATCTCCAAAGTCCTAACCTCTCTGGCAGTTCACATCCACAAGTCATTCCAATGGAGAAAGATAAGCAGTCTTCTCCTATGAGATTTATAGACACAGAAACTCAAAGGAGTGTCAGCTGTGAGTCTTTTCCAACTCAATGGAAATGAAATGAGTTGACTCAGTCATATGATGAATGTGACAAAGACCATGGACAGAAAAGCCATATGAGGTAATCCACTACAGCACAAAAGCTTTGGACCCAAAATTTAGAGGAGCACCTCTGTTTGTATATTGTCACACATCAAGGTGTTGAAAGCGCGACACTTCATTAGGATATTAACTTCATTGGGAAGAGAAAATGGAGGCTTCCCATTTCATACCCTAGCCAGCCTCCCCTTGTAAGTCTTTGGCTGCCTCTGGTTTGTATCCTTTTGCTACAAAAATAGACAGCTGTTAAAATAAGTATCATAATACTCTGTGAGTTGTTCAGATTATCAGATCTGAGATGAGCTAGCAGTAATTCTGGAATTCAGACTTTACTGGTCTCACATGAACTCAGCAGTGGTGTGAAGTGAAGGCAGTCTTGTGAACTATGACCTTTACTAGTGAAGTTTGACAAAACTTCAGATCATCAGTATCAGAACTCATTGCAACAATATATTTACCATCACAACAAGATAAAGGTAAATAATCCAATTGAAAAATGGGCACAGGATATGAACAGACACTTCACCAAAGAAGACATTCAGATGGCCAACAAACACATGAAGAAATGTTCAAAAT